TCTGCAGGAATCTATATTTCAATTCCTATCACTGTTTGCTCTACTCCTAATTCGATGGTTTTCAGTTCAAACATGAATCATTAAGAAAAAGTAAAAATGCTGCATTCACTGCAACATAAAAAATAATAATAAATAGAAAAATGTTAAGTAATCTGAAAGTATTATGCTATCAAGAACTATTCAAACACCTCCTTTCAAGGCTCAGTACAGCAAAAAGGATGATTTTATGATTCAATTTTAAAAGACAATCTACATGAAGCAATTTTTCTCCCCTTAAAATTCCCTTAATTAAGATAATGTTTATTCTCTATTGCCATGAGGGGAAATAACTTGCCTATTTTGTTTATTGATGCATCTCCAGCCAGGACCCTGCCATGAGGGGAAATAACTTGCCTATTTTGTTTATTGATGCATCTCCAGCCAGGACCCTGCAATGTGGTCCCACACAGTGGAAGAAAATACTTGCAAATCATATATCTGATAAGGGATTAATTTACAGAACACATAAAGAACTTCTACAACTCAAGGGAATAAAAACTAATTAAAAAATGAGCAAAGGACTTGAATAGGTATTTCCCCAAACATATACAAATGACCAATAAGCACATGAAAAGATGGTCAATGTCCCTAATCATTAGGAAAATGCAAATTAAAACCACAACGAGATATCACCTCATATTTGCTAGGATAGCTATTATCAAAAAAACAGAAAACAGTAAGTAGTGATGAAAATATGGAGAAATTGGAATCTTTCTGCATCACTGTTGCAGGTGTAAAGTGGTGTGGAAATCAGTATGGTAGCTCTCAAAAACTTAAACACAAAATTACCATATGATACAGCAATTCCACTTCTAGGTATATACTCAAAATAACTGAAAGCAGAGACTCAAACAGATATTTGTACATGCATGTTCACAGCAGCATCATTCACAATAGCTAAAGGGTGAGAGGAATTTGTCAATGGATAAATGGATAAACAAAATGTAGCATATACATAACATGAATACATAAAATTCCGTCTTACAAATGAATGAATAAGGAAGGAAATTCTGACACATGCTGCGACATGGATTAATCTTGAAAACATTATGCTAAGTGAAATAAGTCAGACACAAATGACAAACATTGAATGATTCCATTTAAGTGAGGCACCTAGAATAGTCAAATTTATAGACAAAGTTGAATGGTAGCACTATTGCACAACAATGTGAATGTACTTAATGCTACCAAATTTTACATTTAAAAATAGTTACTTTTTGAAATAGTAATAATTGTTTTAAGCAAAATGGTACAGTTGATCGAGCCTTGAATCAAGAAAGAGAGGAACAAATTGAGGCAATGATACTAATTAACTTTGTGCTCTTAGGCAAGAAATTTGACCTCTCTGGGACTCAGTTTTCCCATCTTTGAAATGAGAAGATTGTAACAGATGTTAATGTTTCTTTTTTGTTCAAAAAATTCCATAAAAGCGCATCTTAGATGCCAGAACCAAAGCTGAAAAATAAGTCTAACACCAATCAGGTGGAGATAAGAGAATTAACATCCCATTTAAGTCTTAGTAGTTTTAAGGCATTTAGTTAAAAGGAACGTTAATCACAAAAGCAGACTGATGAACACAGGTTTGGAAGGAAGATCTATCTCCAGGTTCATTAAAAACACCCACGTATAGCTTCTTGAGGCCTCAAACTGTGGCATTATTAAGAACAGGGCAGAAACAAACATCATTTTAAGCCCTGGAAGGTTACTTATTCTGTTGATAATAAGTATTACTGGCAATTTTTTTTAGACTTGAAGGCCCCAGGATCCATTAAAACTAAAAGAATTTATCCTGGTGTCATTCTGAGCTGGGACAAATGATGCCTTCAGTTTCAGTTCCAGGGAGGCAAAAGGACCAGTATCTGCCTCACTTGTCCTTCACACACCAGCCACATCAATACCATCAGTCTACCGGCACCAAGTTCCATAACTTCTAATTAACACTGAACTCAAAGATTTCACAGAAGCATTTTCCCCCTACAAATGATCTGTTCAATAGCTTTGCTAGTTAAAACCAACATTTGGCACTGTGCTAAGTAAAAACTGGAAACTTAGAAGTCTCTCAATCTTAAAAAGAAATAGTGTTTTCACACATTTCTCTGAGAATGAAAATGCCTCACGATATATATAATAATTATATCAGAGAAGAAACATTCTTAGGCAGAAATCCAAGTATAAACTTCTCATAAAAGCAAACTTTGATTAAATAAAAGAAACAAATTTAGAGCTGCTCAATAATGGTTGGCCCAGAAAGTACCTAACATCCTCGAATAAAATGTTCAAACAGTAGATAGATGACTATAAACCAAAAGTATGTCATAAAGACTCAGTAACGGGGATAATGTCTAAGATTCCACCTAGTGCTAATATCCACAATTTTAAGATCAGAATTACAATAATATCTACATGCTATTAACTAATACTAGCAGAGTTCAGCTTTATTAGCTAGCCTGTCGATCCTTGGAAATTTACTTTAACTATAGGCAAGAAGCATACTGGGCCTAAAAAACTGATTAACAAAAGATTATATATGTCCCCTTCACTCCATCAAGTAATAAAACAATCAAAGATGTTCAAATCAGACAATCCTCCACGAAAATCTTGTGAGGCTAGTGTGTGACTTTGGACAACTTATTTAACCTCTCTGAAATTTAGAAAGAGTTTATAAGAGAGAATATCATCTTATCTCAAAGGACTGTCATGAAAACTTTGTTAAACTAGGTACCTAGGACTGTATAAAATAATACAGTATGCTCTTTCAGATTATATCCATTCCTCAATAGCCTGCTTAAAAATTACCCCTCCATGTTTTCCATGACTTTCTAAGCCAACATACTATTTCTATACTCCAAACTTCCAAATATATTGCATATATTTCTCTACTAATAAAATCACACGTTTGAACCCTCAATTATAGGACAAAGTGAATTTGAGACTATATTTTAGTTAGACTTTAACAAACATGAAAATGAAGAAATGGGACTAATGAATATTTGATTAACTGGTTTAACTATTTTTAAGTGTTCATATTAAAACATTTAGATATCATTGCTCATGGACAAGTCTAAGGTAGAGTAACTTTCCAAATTCTTCTCTCACTGTATTCAGTGACAGACACATGGACATCTGTCTCATCCATTAATGTCCAATTCTAACAGGACCTCATCTCATCAGCTACCTCTGACCTCCCAGGGAAATTGTCTGCTTTCTTTAAACTTATAGGACATACTGCTTAAGCAGTATTTTATTGAATTCAAACTGCACTAAAACCAATCAACATCTCAATTTATTAAGGTTTGTCTTTATTTTCAAGTTAGAGTTACTGAAGATTTTTTTTACATTTATTATGAAAATTTCAAGAAACTATTTCAAATCAATATACTTCTAAAAAGCATAGCAAAAATACCACTGAAATAACATAGAAGTAATCTTAACTACAAAAAAAAAAAACACATCCAAAAAATATTGGCATTCTGTGATCTCATGCTTTCAGTATTTAATTGGAATATTATTTCTAGATGTCTGCAGGCATATTTTAAGTAACATTTGACAGTATTCACAATAACCTCTTTGTATCCTTCAACCAAGCCTTACTTATTTAAATATTGATTTTATATGAAGGCTATAATCATTTTGAAAAATGTGGACTTTTTTAAAGAAATTAAGAATTTTCTAAAGTAAATTGCACTGCTTGCCATAAAACTATTTCAGTCCTAGAAATGATAAATTAATCAGCACATAACTGAGATAATACTTTTCACAAATACCTATGAAAATTGATATCACCATATCAACTGTGACATATCCCAGTTTATTTCTTAATAAATCAGAATATAAAACTTGGCTCAAATGCAACATACAATATATGCCAGTAAAAAGTTAAATCTATATATAACATAATAAATGACATGTGAGAGGTATGGAGGAGTAAGGACAAAACGAAATTTATCATAGAAATTAAGAATTAATAATGGTTTCATTTCATAGAGGAATTGATACTAAGACTTAACTACAACTTTTAAAAAATTTTTCTGTATCAGCAGGTAAAGTTTCTTGAAAATATGAGCAATTATTTTATAATTTCATTTTAAAAGTTACATATTATTAAAGAAACAAATTTTTAGCAACTGAAGTATTTTAGATAAGAAATTAATGCTAATTTTCTAAAGGTTATGTCATTTTTAGTAAAAAACTAATAGAAAAACTATCCTGCAAAAATAAGCTTACTGATTAGAATGAGAACGCAAACGATATTCTAAATCACATTTTAAACTGGAAAAATGGTTCACTAAAAATTAATTTCATATATTTAAACATTATTTTATATATTTAAACAATATATTAAAAGCATTCCTTTAAACTAAAAATTTATAACTGGTAACTACTGGCTTTCTTTCTGTAAATCTCTTTGAATTTGAAGGAAATGTAACCTCCAAATATAGCACTCACTTCTGAATGAAAATGGTAAGGGCTACAATCAATTTCTTACAAAATATAGCTACTAGACATGTAAATACATTCTAACTCTATGTATTGGGTATACTTTTGTCAGTGGCTATGAATATATATGAAATTATTATTTAATAGATACATACTTTGGTCTTGAATATTAATTTATAACTTTTTAAAATCTTTATACCCCTCTCTTGAAAAAAAGGCACTTGGTCTTACACTTCCTATTATAATCTGAAGTAGTATTTTACATACATCCAACATGAATTAACAGTTATTACCCTAATAACAGTTATTGCTATCACAAAAGACACTATGAACTAACAGATTTCAGACACTTAAAAAAGATTTTTAGTGTCTCAGTAAAAGTACAAGTTTAGATATTTTTTTCTAAAGTTTTGTATAAAACTAACATAGGCATAAGACAGAAACATTTGGGCGTTTTTTTCCCTCCTAATAAATGGAAATTAACATAAATCACATTTTAACACATTTTAACATGTAAGACTTACCAGTACGTGGGGAGTTTCAGAAGTTTACCATAAAGAGCGGTGCTGAAAGAGGGAATAATTGGTACAGGTAAGCAGTAAGATCCACTGCAATCCAAAGATGTCAGTCCTGCCTGGAAACCAAATATCTAAAACAAAAAGAAAAGATCCAAGTGTTCAGACAAAGTTTTAATAAGTACACAGGATGAAATACGTCAGTTTCAATTTGCTTTACAACAGCTGCATACTAAGTATGTTCCAAAGCCTTTTTCCACTTCCCAATCAACATTTTCTTCTATACAATTTGACAGTAGCTCAAAATTAACAAATTTAAATATACAGTATTTATTTCACACCCCGAAAGATCACTGCATTTTTGACAAATTTTTTTAAGTTTCACATTTTACTTCTATACATACTCCTCCTGTACTGTTTAATTATCTGCTAAAATATATATTTTTCCATAAATATAAACCACTGACTGCATTTTCTACACTGTAAGCTATAAATTTTATAAATTAATTTTAATATTTTATGACTAAAATAACATTAACTACAAGAAAAACTGTTTAAAAATGTATTTTGTCTTCAACTTGTATAATGTACACACAAAAAGGATATCGAAAAATATCCTAAAATGTTATTTCTTTCCACTTTCTTTTGTGAAAATAATTGTGAGATTGAGGTTTTAAATCCCAGGAAATTTGGTATATGGCATAAATTACTCTTCATATGTACAAGCATGTTTATGCTTAAAGCAAGCAGATCATACTACAAAATTTTATAAGCAACCCCTGAAATTCCTGGGTACTATATTTGTCATAATAGAAAGAAAAAACATAACATCACATGTTACATGAAATACTGCAGAGAACTGATGATATTTCTGCGTCAATTATTTCTAAAACAACAAAAGATAAATACCTCAGAGTGGAAAAACACACATGGATACAAAACAAAGGGTTACTGTTTTCCAGTAAATGTAAAAGTAGCTTAACCTCAACATTTGTCTTTAGTTATTATTTTTTATCCCTTGGGTTTATAATGCACTGACTTCCATATCTCTAGAATTAATTTATATCAACTGTGAAGTTCTATAACAAAATATGTTTAAAATTTCTTCATAACTGATTTCCAAAATACTATTTAATGAGCATAAAATAATTATCAATTTCTTTAACAGTATTAACCTACTTCCAAATAATTTCAAAAAGCTACTATACTCCTAACATTCATCAAATTGACAATGTCAAATTATTTCTTACACACTCGGTTTAAGTGAAGAAAACAACATTTTAGAAATAAAACATTTTTTAAAATTACATTTTCAAGGAAAACTGCATTGCAAAGAACCTACTTATGTAATTACTATCAAGGAAAATAAAAGTGATGCACCCATCAATACCTATAACCTGGTATTAACCAATAAACAACAAGTACAGAATTGAGAAAGAGATTTGTTTCTAATACTGAAATGATTACTGAAAATCATAACTTCAAATTAAGATATTTCACATTCATTCTTTTTTAAGACCTGTTCTGAGCAACAATGTATGCAAAGTACTCTGCTGGTTTCTGTACAATTTCAGGATTTCTTATTTCCACATAAAGGCCCAATATTCAAAGGATTCTGGAATTTACAGTTATTAATATAACAATACAAAACACATTTTTAAAGCAATGTCCAACTGCCAAATATTTCGAGTTATGAATAAAGATAATATTTTATCACCTATGCTCAACTAAGAACTCTCTCAAAGCCACTGTCGAATTTTCCATTAAATGCCTCAACAGTATAATCAGACACTATCTACCAACTGTACTCAGAAGGAAATTGGGTGTAGAGGAGATCCCCTGCTGGCTGTCTGCAGAAATGCAAAGGGCTTCGGGGAAATTGCATACTATTCTGACATTTTTTTTAAAGCCTTTATTATATTTTTGTGTTGTCTAGAGATGCTTCTAAGAAAACACTGAAGCAAGTGAAATTACAATAAAAAAGGACCTACTGGACAAAGAAGTTACCTTCTAAATATTGCCAAGTTATTATGAATCATATTTTGCTTTCTCTATTATCCACCAAATCAACAATAACAATTTAAAAATAAAATTTTAAGCTCTCTCTTTTAAACTATAGCAATCAGATACACAGATTTACAAAACCTATATAACCTAATAATTTGTCAACATCCCTTGACCAAGACGATAAATACTTAATCTGGAAAAAGAAGAACCAGCAGTGTAAACTGAAGTTGCTTTCATGAAGGATAGTTCACATATTCAAAAACTGGTTTGGTAAATGTTGTAAACTAATAGTCTGGAGCAATAAAAATGTATGAAACAGTAAGTATAACTACCAATAGAAATGTTAGCCAAAGGAAGTTGTAAAGTTGAATAAGAGGACTTATACATCTCCTTAAATAAAAAGTTAAACATGTATTGCCATCTGTTTTTAAAAATCCCAATTAGTAGGCCGGGCGCAGTGGCTCAAGCCTGTAATCCCAGCACTTTGGGAGGCCAAGACAGGTGGATCACGAGGTCAGGAGATCGAGACCATCCTGGCTAACACGGTGAAACCCCGTCTCTACTAAAAAATACAAAAAACTAGCCAGGCGAGGTGGCGGGCGCCTGTAGTCCCAGCTACTCGGGAGGCTAAAACAGGAGAATGGCGTAAACCCGGGAGGCGGAGCTTGCAGTAAGCTGAGATCAGGCCACTGCACTCCAGCCTGGGCGACAGGGCAAGACTCCGTCTCAAAAGAAAAAAAAAAAAAAATCCCAATTAGTAAATAAAAATAAATACATCATCAAGATTTTAACATTTTACAACAAATGTTCTTGAATTAACATCTCAAATAGAAGAAATGGATTTAAAAACATTATAAGGCAACTTATTTCTGTAAGATTTTGCCAAAAATTATCATAAATTAAAATTTGCTATTTTAAAAAGACAAAAGTATAAAAAGCACATGCTAACTATAAATGACAACAAAAACATTATAATTATGACATACAATAAATAATTTTTGTTACTGCCATTATAAAACACATGGTATAATAGTATAATCAGCATTATAAAGATTTGTCCCTTAAGGGACAAGTAAACATTTCTTTCATTCAAAAGTTGGTATGTATGCAATAATACACTGAAACACATGAAAACTGAAGAAAGAATAATAATTACAGTTGTACAGCATAATAATGAACATCTAACAAAGAAAAACTCTTCAGGGGAAAAGAATGAAATCAAACTCAACCACAGAATTTTAGAGCTGAAACTGCTTAGAGATTATTTAACTCAATCATCTCCTTTTACATGCGGGAAAAATGAAGTCCAAAAGGATTAGGGTCATCTTTGAAATCATATATTGCAGTAACAAGTATATGATGCTTCATGTGATGTAGCTCATCTATTAACTCACAATTTCAGCCGACCTTCCTTCCGCCCTCCATTTCCTCCTTCTCTTCACCTAAAAAGAAATGGCTGATTCTCTATTCTCAAAGAAAAATAATCTTTCTCACCACCACCTTCCCCCTTCAATCATCAGTAAAGCTACATTTCTCTCCCTTCATCAGCAAATACCTTGAATGAATAGCTCAGAGCAGTGGTCACCAACCTTTTCAGCACCAGGGAATGGTTTCGTGGAAGACAATTTTTCCATGAATGGAAGGTTGGGGGGATAGTTTCAGAATAAAATGTTCCACCTCAGATCATCAGCCATTAGATTCTCATAAGGAGTGTGCAACCTAGATCCCTCACATGCGCAATTCACGACAGGTTCACTCTCCGATGACAATCTAACACCACCACTGATCTGATAGGAGGCAGAGCTCAAGCAGTAATGCTTGCTTGCTCTGCTGCTCACCTCCTGCTGTGCTGTCAGGTTCCATGGCCCAGGGGTTGGGGAACCCTGCTTACACTCTTATCTAGAGATATTTAAATTCCAGAGTTGAATTGGAATGTCCAAATCTTGTTCACAGTTGCTGTTTTTACTGTGACTTGGGAAATCACAGCTGTTGGGGGTCCCTGGCCTAAAGTTTGCTATAACGTTTTCATCACCTATTACTTCCTCTTTTTTTTTTTTATTATTATTATCATACTTTAAGTCCTAGGGTACATGTGCACAACGTGCAGGTTTCTTACGTGTGTATACATGTGCCATGTTGGTGTGCTGCACCAACTTTACATTAGGTATATCTCCTAATGCTATCCCTTGTCATCTACATTAGGTATATCTCCTAATGCTATCCCTCCCCACTTCCTCCACCCCACGACAGTGTGTCATGTTCCCCCTCCTGCCTCTGTAGACTCCACCTCTGGGGGCAGGGCATAGCCAAACAAAACGCAGTAGAAAACTCTGCAGATTTAAATGCCTCTGTTGGGCAGCTTTGAAGAGAGTAGTGGTTCTCCCAGCACGAAATTTGAGATCTGAGAACGGACAGACTGCCTCCTCAAATGGGTCCCAGACCCCCAAGTAGCATAACTGGGAGGCACCCCCCAGTAAGGGAAGACTGACACCTCACATGGCCAGGTACCCCTCTGAGACGAAGTTTCCAGAGGAAAGATTAAGCAGCAACATTTGCTGTTCAGCAATACTCGTTGTTCAGCAGTCTCCACTGCTGATACCCAGGCAAACAGGGTCTGGAGTAGACCTCCAGCAAACTCCAACAGACCTGCAGCTGAGGGTCCTGACTGTTAGAAGGAAAACTAAAAAACAGAAGGACATCCACACCAAAACTCCATCTGTACGTCACCATCATCAAAGACCAAAGGTAGATAAAACCACAAAGATGGGGAAAAAACAGAGCAGAAGAGCTGAAAATTCCAAAAATCAGAGCGCCTCTCCCCCTCCAAAGGAATGCAGATCCTCACCAGCAACGAAACAAAGCTGGATGGAGAATGACTTTGACGAGTTGAGAGAAGGCTTCAGACGACCAAACTTCTCCGAGCTAAAGGAGGAAGTTCGAATCCATCGCAAAGAAGCTAAAAACTTTGAAAAAAGATTAAACGAATGGCTCACTGGAATAACCAGTGTAAAGAAGTCCTTAAATGACCTGATGGAGCTGAAAACCATGGCATGAGAACTACGTGATGAATGCACAAGCTTCAGTAACCAATTCAAATAACTGCAACAAAGGGTATCAGTGACTGAAG